ACTTGACTTGTTGCACTAAATATTATCGAAATATGATGCAGTCAAAGTCGTCAAAATATTCTTAAATATATACAGCTACATTTTTATATTATTTTTGAAAAATTCGTAAAACATACTACAATTTTGGTAATAAAAACTAAAAAATAAGTAGGTATATAAATAATTTATACACGGGCTTACTAATTTTAATATAGGTAGGTACCTATATTGATTAATGTGATGGACGGAGTACACTATTGCATGTTTTGGACATTTTTAAACTATTGTGAAATAAAACAACTTGATTTTTAAAAATACTGGAATAAAATACTAGGTTAATAAATATGTAATAAATAATAACGTGATATGCGAACACCGTGATAAACGAACACGTATCTACTGATTTTCATTTTTTCGTACAATCTAGAATGTAGATGTCAATTATAGTTTTAACACAGTCTTGTCACAAAGAGACTTATAAAATCTTACATACCATAACTATGCGAAAATAGGGCAAACCGTATAGCCAAGCTCCACCAACAGGCAACAATACTTTAACAGCCCTCCCAATCATTTACTAAATTTTTTAATTCAATTTTATAATAGTATGGTTTTAGGCTTCGGCCTCCCCAAATCGCAAAATTAGAGCATGTTGTACCTAACCAAACATAATATTTTTAAAGATATTTTTCAATGTTATCCAAATATGATTTTTCCCGACAATTGTATGTACCTACATTTAAGTTAGAAAAATGCAAAATATGCATAAATATGCGAAAAATTGCTCAAATGTACACTTTTCCTAAAATATGCAAATTCAAACTTTGTTTGATTAGACATTTAAAATATTTCATAAGACAAATTTATAACTTATCTAAAATAATGCGAGCAGTCCCAAACCCTATAAACAATATTTTTATTAGGGAGGAAAATGTCAATGGGGGGTGTTTAAACACCCAAAACCCCCCCTGCCTACGCCACTGCATATATATTATATACACACATTATACTTATATAATAATATGATCTAAGGTTCGTGGACTCGGACGCCTTAGAATTTTTTTTTTTTAACTAGACTATACCGAAATGCAGAACGGTAAATTATTAGATCTATAATAATAATTCCAGGAATGATGTGGCACATATATTTTGTGTTGCTGTAATAACTATTACATGTATAGGTACTAGGTAGGTATATGTCAAACACGAACTCGCATATTGACAATCCATAGATACAGTCTATACGCATACATTGATTAGTAATTCATGTACGAAATTCTTGTACGATTGTAAATATTATACAAATTTGAAATTACAGACAGTGGTGAATTTAAGGGGGGCCAGTGGGGTTAATAGATTGGGCCGTTTTTTGAATATTTGTAATATTTGTATTTTTAAGACTTAGAAAATACAACCCCCCCCCCCCCAAAAAAAAAAAATCGTCGTTATTGACGACGACGGTATAAGCCTGCAGCAACCACAGGGCCAGCGCTCTACGCTTGTACCGGCCGATATAGCTATTTATAAGGCTTATTTTTTTTTTTTCGAAAATTAATTCTCGTACAGATTGTTATTGGGCGGCCACTTAAAAAAAATGAAATAAAATTGGTGTAGCTACACTCTATTTTATCTGCAAAACCGATCGCCATAAAATTTTGTGCAGCTATATTAGAAGAAAAAAACAGTGCGGGTTATAATAGGTAAACCAACCGCGATCCTTATAATATAATATTATATTATTATTCTATAGACGAAGCGTTAATTATAATACATTAATTAATAGGTAGGTATAGGTATATATAGGTACTGAGCGAACAGGAGCCGAGATCAAAACCACACACCAGTGGTGTTTAAATATCTATGACGTATATTATAATATACGTATACGCATTATGCATATATATATATGTAGGTATATAATAATATATTGTTACGGCCAAGAATGCGTAATATACGTATAATGATGATGATAATTGATTGTACTGCGGAGCTGTTAAAAAAAAAAATACGAATGTGTATAATATATATATTATATTATTATTAGGTACCTATATGTGAAAACCACGAGTGAAAAATCTGATACTAATATTTAAATTTTAAATACATATTTGGATTTTGGAGATATCAACGACGTATTTTATATGCTACATAATATTATATATAAATACTAACAGCTAACTCAGTAGTTGTCGAAGGTACAAATATTGGGTAAATGTATATACTAATTGCGTTTTAACGTGATTGCGCGAATTCGATTTTTCGCACACCCGTCTTGCGTGCGCTCACGTTACACGACAGATAGCCGTTTTAGAGTCTTACCTACACGATGTGTGTGTGTGTGTGTGTGTGTGTTCATATATAACATAAGGGCACCGCCTCTCTGGTCAAGGTGAATGATCTCTCAGCACAACAATAATAATAATAATAATAACGATCTATGATAATATAATAATAAATATGAGATCCAACGCAGTTTCACAATGTCAATCAGAATCTCTTATAAAATATAAAATATAATATTATTATAATAATATGACGTACATGCGCACATGTGTGCTCGAGCGCACAGAGACGATGTGTAATATATATACTATTTTACGAGCTCACCTCTATAACATGTGCACGTTTTGAGCTTGTCGATGGCCCGCAAATTTATCGCAATACATAATATTATATATTATTTATATTGAATTTAAGTGGGTCGAGCGTTAACGTGCGCCGTCTTGTCGTCTCCGCTGGCGACGTATATGAATTTCGCGCCACTCTTCTTTAAAAAGTTCGACGAGTGTCGGCCCGAAATGTAGGTCGACCGGTACCGTTCCGCACTTGTACAGCGCCAAAACGAAAGACGCGTAGTTACTTTATTTGCTGTATGTCAATAATAATAATAATAATAGGTTATTATTGTTATGAATAACGCTCGTGGCCACAGTAAATATATTACTAATTATTATTGTAAGACACTCGCTGGCCCTTCGCAGCTCACGCAATAGAAGGGTTGTGTTATTGTCAGGGGTTAAAGTGGAAAAATATTCCAGAGAGGACTAATGTCTCCATATAGTTTTAAGCGTTCCATATATTTTATGTTTAATGTCTAATGTATAAAATCCTAATTTGTTAAAGGGGACGCTTTTTAACCGCCGTCAGAGGTAGGGAGACTGAGTCCCCCCCACTTTAACCCCTGGTTATTGTTATGACTTATAATCCATATTATAATATGAGTCTGGGGCTATACTGCAACAGACCGCAGGTCGAGATCCCATAAGATTAACTCGTGATAACCGACCCAAAGCTCCCGATGGCACAATGCGATGAGGACCGAATCATATGTATGACCATGACGATGATTTCCATTAGGAATCATAAAACATTAATACATCCACGTCAAAACATAAGAACATCTAACATCGTCAGTCAATTAGTGTGATTTTCGAGCACACGTTTAATAGTGTTCGGCAGAGGTTCTTAGAAAAGTACATTATTCCACGTTTTGCTCGAAATTTAAAACATAAGAAAATGTACCAGTATAAAAACCGTCAATATACTTAACTGCAGTCGCTATAGACCGTTTCTAAAAGTAGGTAATTATTTTAATTTAGACAGTATTTTTTGATATCATGTTATTGTTATTTTTATAATTTTTTTAACGTTAGATAATAATATAAGTGTCTACTTTTAAGCATAATTTTACCTGTTGATCCGTGCAAATATCAATTCTTTTGATAAAGGCCAGCCGTTTCAGTAAATAATTATTGAAGTATATAAAAAAAATCTCTTGAAACTCTTTAATAATACAACTATAATAATATCAAACATATTAAAATTACTATAATAATATCAAAAGAACAAAAAAAAATAGGATATCTAATATATGATCCAATATATATTTAATAATTATAAACAAGATAAATAACAAAGAACACCAACTTTCAATTGAATGCTTCTTAATATACCTATATTTTATATTATTATAAATTACCTACATAATAATAATAATATTATGGTGTTTAATGCTTAAGGATATAAATGTTAGGCAACACAACGTACGTCATTCGTTTTTTTTTTCGCGAATATTAAATAAAAACTTTTCACTTCGTAGGTCAATATAACGACTTGTCGTCATTTCCGGTCACCATATAAACTGTATATAGCTCTATAACAACAACATCATATCCATCAGCGTAAAATAATATTAATCTATCAATATAGATCACTTTCAAGACATATAGGTACATATAGGTACTAAGGTATACGTACATATTGGCGTTCTGCAGTATACATTTGATGTGAATATATTAGCAATATAAAACTAGATAACCAGTATCTGCTTGAACCGGTTGGGCTTGATTCAAGATCAATAGGTATACATAATATGATTAGAAAACTGATAAATTATTATTTTACGTGGTTAAAATCGTATTAATAAAAAATTGGTCTGAATATGAAGAAAGTGTTACAAATAAAGTACAATATATTATAATACATTTTCGGAATACGTACCTATTCAATTTAAAATTTTTAAAATAATACATCGAATATCTATATGTGGTTGATAAAGTAATAATTATGAATTACCTACATAAAAAATATTTTTAAAAATGTTAACATTTCGATATATTTTAAAAATTGTATTCAATCCTAATAGTTAGAAATTAAACAAATTCTGGTACCAATGTACCATATTATATGTAGGTATACTAGCTATTAGCAGTAAGTATTAGGTAACTGCTAATATCAAATTAGTTTATCAAAGTAAAAGTTTGTTTTACATAATTTAAAGTTTATGTTATTGTTTTTTTACAACGTGTATGATTAAAACTGATTCAACCCATAATAAGAAAGTTTAAGAACAAATCAGTTTGTAATATTATATTAAAACAAAACAATTGCCAATGAATAATATTAATGTAGTACAATATAAGTATAGGAACATGAAAGTACAGTAAAACTTCCATGTAAAGGTCACCGAAGAGACCTGAAATAATGACAGATAATGGAAGTGCAAAACTTCCAGATGACCGCTATATAGAGTGCATAAAAAAACCAAATACACACACAATAATTTGCAAAAACCATTCGTACACAACATTATTGATATTATTATTAATTGATTTGGTTTTACGACGTTTTTTAGTTTTCATTTCATCATTACCTTTGGATTTCCATAATTTTAATACAGTATCTTTATTCTTTATTAAACCGGTGGCTTGAGTTCTCCCTATTAAAAATTTATCTGAGAGAGCACGCGAGCTCGCATTTTCTTTTTCATAATATTCTAACAGCCTAATGTTTCTGCTACAGTCAGGTGTTTTCTTTTTGGACGTCGTCATGACCACGCACTTCAAAACGTTTTCAACTGACACTGACAACTAATGAAACACAATAAAATACACAGACCCGGAGTGTTCATAACGTTATCGTATAAAAGCTCGATTATACATGTAAATATTTTAGTATTTTATCTTATAATTTTTCTTCGTGTCAATTCAATCGGGGGGGGGGAGACATTTTGTTATAACTAGGTAATTTATATATATCCCAGGAACGTATGATAACATAATTTAACCGCCACAATATTATGTTTTATTTGATTCAATGTTTGTATCACAGACCACAGTTGAAAATAGAAATGAACCGTGGTCTGTATAATCATTAATCAGTATAGCTCTCAAAAATGTAAAAACAATTTGAAATATTATAATAATTATTAAAAGAGTGTACTTAAACAGTATGGATATTTTGTAAAACAAAAACAGAAAATTACACGGCTTAGGAGGGGGTCCGGTGCCTTTTATATAGAGGTATTAATTGTTTGTTCCCTTAACACTTGACGGGACTAAAAAAAATTACCATGATATAGAGGTGACACTCGTGACAGTATTTTAGTGGTGACCGTTAACGGACATTTTTCTTTATAAACTATAAAGTAATCGTAAAATAACATATTTCCTCGATCATTACAACAAATCGACGAAATAAATGATTTCAAACCATCTCTTGTGAAAAAAATTGATAAGATATAATAGGTAAAATTATTTCGATTGATTTCCTTATTGTTGGCGTGCAAAGTAAACTAGATAAATATTGAAATGTATAGGTAGGTACATAATAAAATGTGTTCAAGGATTTCGGGTAACTGCGCAGTATATAGCCAAACTAAATTCATTATGAAATCAAAAAACACTATGGATGCTGTTAACGGTTTTTATTTTAATTTTTTTTTTTTTTTGTTGTCTGTTCCTCCATCTAGTTTTGTGTACTCCGTAGAGAGACAGAATTTTATGCACTTTAATCCATTATGGTTGACCCAAATAATATCGTTGCCATATACTGCAGACAAGAGCACTTCTGGCGTTTTGCGATTGACAGCAGATGTGATAGGTAGGTACAATCATAATAATAATAATGTAATACCCGTAACCATATTTTTAAAAGAATTTGAAAGTCACAATCAATAATACCTATATTATAATATATGTTTCAGACTTCAGAGAGTATATATTATGGTAAATATAAAGGTATATTGTTTACTTTAAGTTATTTAAATAATCGAATTCCAAAACCGCCATACTTCAAAAATATTAGAAGCCAGAAAATAAGTGGTTGACTACGGGGAGTGGGGACATACTGCAAGGAGAGACACCTGTAAATTATAATAATGTACAATCATTTATATTTTATAACACTATACCTATACAGGGTGTAATTTGCAGAAAATCCTGACAAAATAATTACATTTTCATCTAATCAACATTTAAACTTTTTTTTTTTACTATTACAAAAAATATTAATATTTTTATTTTATTAAACTTTTATTTTGGAAAAATTAAAAATAGCCAATTTGTAAATCTTATTTTTAGACAAATGTTGATGGTAATAATGTTTATTTAAATCAAGTTATAGTTTATTTTTACAATATTTTATTGGAGTAAATTAATTTGAAACAAATAACTTTTTAAATATTATTTTTAGGAATTTCCTTACATAATTATATATTTCTTAAATTATTTACTATCCAAATAATATTCATAATTTTTGTTATAGGTACGATTAAGTAGTATCAATTTTTTTCAGGTCTTTCTTTTACACTAGTAAACTAAAATTTTTAAATAATTATACTAATATTTATAAGAACCAAATAACCAACAGTAAAGATCGTTTAATACGTCAACGGTTAAAACGTCATATCGGTTAGTACGCTATACCCTCAAAGTCTTAAGTTCTAATGTATCGGTTGATACATATTACACCTACCAGTTAACGTGACCAGGCTACGTGGTCCTTTGATGCCACATCAAGCAAATTCTACTGAATCGTATATATTATATTTAAAAAATTAACAATAAGTATTTGGTATGCGTCTTTTACAAAGTTGACGTCGTCTTCTCTCTCGTATAAAAGTATAAAATATAAATTTGAACTCAAATTCGATACTTATAGGCGTACATTATAATATGATGTATTGAATACAAATAAACGTATTGGTACCTACTGGTATAGCTGGTATCTTATCTATATACGTCATAGACCTGCGACCTACCTGTAGATTTAACGTTGACGCGCGATATCATTGATCCATTTCAACGGGTCAACGACGTAAACATGTACCGATTTGCACATACAATATAATTTTTTATTAATTGGATCCGACAAAATTATATGTTGTGTGTCCGATGCGAATAAAAACATTACTTTTATATCTAGAATTCAAGTAGGTAGGTATTATATAGCTGTACCTCGGTAGTGGTTAAGCTTAGCACATATACATATATAATACCGACGAGGTACTGGCATGATATCGTATATTATATAGTAGTCCTACTATATAGATGATCGTTGTTTCCAAACACAGTGAATTTATTATAATATTTTATAGAATGTTGTTCGTTATTTTGTTATTATTAGTTTATTTTATTTACCGATATTCTCGTATACCTACATTATAATATACTGCATATTATAGCATATTATATTATTATACTTGACGCTTTTGATAATACTATTGTAATAATATTATTATTATTATTATTTATTATAATCAACGCCAGACGGCTTTTACAAAATAACAGACAAGAAGAACATAGATAACAGTATGAAACATTTACAATATATGTAAGATGCATAACTTATACTAAATTAATTATAGAGAGAAGAAAAAGAATTAGTAAGTAATTAAAACAAAAAAACAATGTGGTGTAAGTAATGTAAAAAAAAAAATAAAAAAAAATAAAAAAAAATGTGAGCCTTCGTACTACATATGGCTTAATAGTCTATATGATTATTTGCATTATGCATCATTCGTATAAGTGGGGCATTCCTGGAGAAGTTTGATTTATTGGTGGGTATATAAAAATTACATTGAAGCCTAGTGTTACTGGGAATATTATATAATTTAATATAATTATGTTTATGTTTTTATTCGATTGTTTGTGTATAATATTTAAATATACGTATATATACTGCATAGTATATACATACTCGAGGACGTTTATAAAATGATTAAAAAGATACAAATCGCAATTACACACCCTCGATGGTTTTTTTTTTATTTTTATGAACTTTTTGACGAAATAACGCTTTCCGAAATGTCGAGGTTACTTTATGATGACGTAGGCACCTTTACAATAAAACAATTATCAGATCATTTATACGAACGCCTCCGGACGTATTATAAATAATAGTTGGTTGTTTTTTTTTTTTTAGTCTGTTGTGTAATTATACGACCAATTACAATGCGTGTGATGGGATTTGTGTTTTTGCATAATAATATTATTACTATTTTGTCGAGACGCCAATATGGTAGGGTCATCTCAGAATTTAAAAAAAGATTATCTCATTCAGCCTTGGTTTTTGAAATTCTTAAGAATACCTACGCGCTACCGATAAAAAATATTATCTATACAACATGCAAATATTGGTCGGCTAAAAATTAAGTCCATACGCAAAATAACCGGACTGCAGGATATCACGAGTTCGCTCACCTCGGCGTGGGACAGTTGTGCGTGTTATTTCATATGATCTAAAATGTTGAAGACGACGATAAACGATCGCACGCAATTGAAAACCGTCTAGGCTACTTATAATATTATAAACTACAGATAAAATCAAAAAATCACTTCCTAAACGAGCCAATAGTATTTATGTTATTAAGGTTTGAGTGATTTTAAGCCCTTATTATGATATAATCATTTTGCGAGGGATGGCGTAGAAATAATGATATACGTTTGGTGAAACGAATTGAAGCTTCGAAAAAATGCTATAGTTTAATTAAATAAATAGGTAATAATCATTAAATTGAAATTGAATTGGTAAATACTAATAGGTGTTTATAATAATTAATAGGTTACCTACCTATACACTATACCTATACTGCAGATTGTAACAAAAATATCTGACAAATAAAAAAAAAAAAGATTTAAGAAATATATCCATGTCGAAAATATTTTAAAAAAAGTTATTGCGTTTCAAATTAACTTGTTCCAAACAATTTGAATATTTAAAAAAATTATATAAAATAAGCTACTTGAGTTAAATAATTGTTTTACCGTCAAAATGTGTCTATAAACAATGTTGAGAAAGTTCCTTTTCAAAAGGATCTCGTTCCGTTCCCCGTTCATTTCTTAATGTATGAACTCATTCCAGATCCTTGTTCCTTATTCAAAAAAGAACTCGCTCCAAATCTAGTTCATTGTTCATCTAAAAAAAGAACTCGTTCCAATTTTCAATTAATATTTTGAATTTTTTTTTTATTATCAATATTAAAAAATTTATATTTAATATTGATTAGAACAAAAGTTATTTAATTTGTCCGGTCTTTCCTTTACACCCTCCATTATAATATATAAAGATATAATACAATTTTGTAGAGCATATCGTATATCGTTTAGATCCGTGTAAAACTGTCATTTATGCATTTGTTTCACGGCGGTATAATAACACTTACTCAAATAACACATAGGAAATAATATGACATATTATATTACATTATATACAAGCAATTTTTTTAAGCCGAAATACGTCCATGTATAGCTACATAATATTAAATCAACCGGTATCTATATATTATATTGACCAGGTACCTATATTATTATAAGGTTATACGTACCTACTCGTACTTCTGTAGATATATAACTACCTATAATTATTAAATGTATGGTTATATAATAATATTTGGAGTGCGTTAACTTTATACTATTCATGTTGTATGTAAACGTGTGTATCAGCTTAGTTAATTTATCATACATAATATGCAGTGTATATATATGGCCATATGTATAAGGTACTTACATATTAACAAATTATGTTCGAACCTTGAAATGAAAAAAAAGAA